GGGGGTGTGAATTAGCTCTTATATTAATAACCAATTCTGTTCTGTTTTCTTATAGCAATGAATTTAGCAAACTAGTTGCAGAAGAATATCTGAAGTTTTTCGATTTTACAGGAATGACGCTGGATCAGTCTCTCAGGTATGATTAAACTTCTGTTCTTGTTCCTTCATAGAAGTTCTCCAAAAAAGATAAAGTAATGTGCTGAAGCTAAAATCTGATTTTTATTTTTTTAAACCCACAATTGCTTTGTGAATTTAGCTCAGATTGCACTATAGATGATAAAGGTAGTAGAAAGTGAGAAAAATACCTTGTTTTTGTGAAATCACACGAACTCATCTTCTGCATCTCCCGGGTGGCATGGGTAAAGAATGGTGGCAGTGTAAGTCTTGAGGAGAAGTGGAACCTGGGGGAGTTTGGGTTTTGGATGATCAGTTTTTAAAAAGGAAATTTACAGACTGTAGAATTTTAGGTATTTTCCGTAAGCATTTGTTTACAATATCAATTAGCCTTTTAAGACAAAACTTTGAAATTAACTCATGAATGGAATAAAAATCAATAACAATATAATCATCAGCAGAAAGTATCTGTAAAAATGTATGAGGTAGTAACACTTTTTGCTGATCTGTTCAAATGAAGGTGTCTTAAACAATCCGATCCTCACTTTTCACCACACATTGTACTGTAAATTTCGAAGAGCAGGGGAAGGTGACACCCAGTGAGCATCTAATCTTAGGAAGTTTAACCTGTCAGAGCCGGGAGGAATTCCGAGATCATCTGTGTGACCTTCTAGTTTTACAAAGCAGGAAACTGGGGCCTGGGAGGTGAAGTGAGGAGGTCTGGATTTATAATGCCCACAGTCACTCATTCTGTGGCTCTTTGCATGAGTCAAGGATACTCACGGGTTTTGCAATGAAAACAGGTAAGGGTGGAGGAGAGACCTATATTTTTGCTTTACTTTTGCTTTGCTTTCTTGTGTGGTTTATTAAAAAAAAGGAAAAAAATTAAAGTTCGATCAGTATAATTTAGGTAAACAAACAATAAATAAAGAAAACAGCAACATTTTCATCATAGAAATAAGGGTTATCATGTGTTTATTTCAATAATAGGATTTCTTAGAGCATTTTAAGTGATTTTTTTCCTTCCCATGTTATGTTTCGGGGAATGCATCTACTTTGTCAAGTGAGAGACATCTGGATTCATCTGTAATAGACAGTACTGTCACTGACTCTGATTTAAGGGGGGTGTGGTTTTCTAGGAATATTTTTTATTCAAAGAAGTTTTATATACAAATTAATTTATTCCTAATTTATAAAATAAGAGTTTTATCTTTCAGTTTCCTCCACATGTAACAATTTAATAATGTGGTAATGATAATAGGCAAAGTAAAATTAATAGAAATTTACTGCATACAGAACAGTGTAATTGTAATTTTAACAGTAGGTCAGTGGCAATCACAGTCATGTAACAAAATGACAAAAAAAAACTGTGATCCATGTAGAGTTTTAAAACATAGCCTACATAGTTTTGCATTTAGTCTTAAGTGTTGTTTTTTTCCAACTGATCTTTTTAAATGGCCACTTGACACTTATGTTATATGGGGAAGTTACCTTCCTTTCCAAGGCTTTTCTTGATGTATTGCCCTGTCATCTTTTGCATTGTAAATTTATACTGAATGGCCATCTAGTAAGTGATCTTTTGAAAAAACTGCAGAATATCTTAATTTACGTAATTAATTTCTTATGCTTATATGAATTAACTTTAACTATCAAACATAAAGAATGTGGTAACATTTTCTAAAATTTACTCCCCCCCCAATTCTTTTCTAGGTATTTTTTTAAAGCATTTTCTCTTGTGGGAGAAACTCAAGAACGAGAGAGAGTTTTAATACACTTCTCCAATAGATATTTTTATTGTAACCCGGATACCATTGCTTCACAAGGTAACCTGATAGAAATGCTTGAATTTCTTTTTTACAATAAGCGTTGTTTTCCTCATTATGAAAGTAACATTTGATAGTGGAAAATATGGAAAATTATACAAAAGAAAATGAAGTCGTCTAAATATTTCTATCTAGAGATAACTATTATAAACAGTCAGATTTACTCCTTTCTAGTCTATTTGTACGATATTTATTTAATGTCAAATTGGAATCATTAGAGTTGTTTCCTACATTGTGAGCATTTTCTCATGTCATCAAATATTATTTAAAAAGCATGACATATTTTGACACATGATATTGTTTACTCTTTTTTCAGTTATTTTTCTTTATTTTCCAGTTTCATAGCATGACAATATTTTTTAAATTGCTTACGTTTTGTCACTCTGAGATTTAATATGCAAAATGGATTGTAATAAATGAAATTCCAGTTCTCTTATTTTCTCTTCCTAAGCACCTGATCTCTAAATTTCTTGATGAAGTGCATATGTACTTGGTTTTGGAAATATTGACAAATCTCTCTGGAGTTTATGGTGTGCCTCTAGTGCTTTTGTTTGATAGTCATCAAAATAACACTGAGCACTGACTTTGGTTCATGATTTGAATGGACTGTGACTTTGTGTTTATTGTGCTATTTTTAAAAAGCAACTTTAGTTGTCGATGAAGAGTGGTCTTTTCTCCATTTCCATTCCTACAATAAAGCAAAGTTTTTAGGGTTTGAGGTCAAGTGCATTTACTTGCTATTGGAGAATCTTCCATAAGGTTACAAGTTCTGGAATAAATGACTAAGACTAGGTGCACTACAAATAATTATCTCTTACCTTCAGTATTACCAATTAACTAAAAGATAAGTGTATTTGATACTGAGTAAAGTAATTGTCCTCCAAACCTCCCTGTCCTGCAGGCTATAACTAAACAGCTAGCTGATTATTAAAGTCACATTCCTAGCCCCGGCCCTGGTGTGGCTCAGTTGGTTGAGTGTTGTCCCGTGCAGCGAAAGGTCACTGAGTCAGGACATGTGCCCAGGTTGCAGGCTTGGTCCCAGTTGGCAACCAGTCAATGTTTCTATCTCACATCGATGTTTCTCTCTCTCTCTCTCCCCTCCCTCATCTCTTAAATCAATAAAAACATTTTAAATTTTTTTTAAATAAATTCACATTCCTATTTGTAAAATGGAAACTTACTTTTCTTTATTCCTTTCTTTGAGTATATTTAGACCATTTATTCACTGTCTCTATCACTGTCGGCACTGAGTAGAGAATGCAAGGGATAGAAGAGGGTTGTTTTTATCAGAACCTTCTTCAAATCTAAGATGTCGACATTCCTGAGTGAACTAGGAACATGGATTTGTGCATTCACTTGGCTGTTGATAAGGGTATTTGAGAGTTGGCTGCTGAGTTTAACAGATACTTTCAAGAACTTGTTTTAAATATATTTAGAATTTGTGATGATAAACTAAAACTGGAAGAAATATACTTTTCGGTATTTAGTAGCAGCAACCTGGAGACTTTAATAACAGAAATCTCCTACTATAGTTAAAGGCACACTTTGGAAAAATACACTATCTTTAATTCATGAATTCACTAACTGGACAGGCCTTTCTGTACAGTTAGCATAATTAAAAAGATTTTTCTGAATCTGCAGCTGCTGTGGTTTACTGTACTTGGATTGAGAACTGCAGGGAGAGAAAGGGGAGGAAACCTAATTCTAAGGCTTGGAAATGAGAAACTTAACTCAGTGCTTTTTCTTTTTTATATAAAGTAAGAAGAGTGATGTTTCCATATAAATGTGAATTCCTTATTGGTTAGGTACCTGTTTTCCCCTGAATATTTAATTTTTTAATTTTCACAGCTTATCTCAGTATTTTACTTTTGTCTGATTCACAGTGTTTTAGACCACACAACCTGAATGTTTTCACTAAAGAGCGGCAAACAGAGGATAACTATTCCTGCCTGTGTAGTGTTAGCCAGAGCTAATACCCAAGCAGTAAACTGCGGGACATGCAAGCTGTGGCTTTCTTTAACTTTTGCTTCTTTCTTAATTCACTCTCCTCCCAGAGAGTAAAGCAAGAAACAGTATTAAATGATTTATTTTCATGTTCATATTTGTGTTAAAGAAAATTGAGAAGATATCAATAAAAAGATAAAAATGATAATCTCACTTTCCAGAGATGATGATCTCTTTTTTATTTTATTTTAAATGTATCTTTATTGATTTCAGAGAGAGGAAGGGAGATGGAGAGAGAGAGAGAAACATCAATGATGAGAGAGTCATTGATCGGCTGCCTCCTGCACACCCCCAACTGGGGATCGAGCCCGCAACCAGGGCATGTGCCCTGACCGGAAATCGAACCCCGATCGCCTGGATCCTAGGTCAATGCTCAACGGCTGAGCCATGCCCAGCTGGGCGATAATCTCTTTTAATATTACCCTATATATTCTTCTAGATGTGTTTATATTTAAATGGAATCAGACTGCATATAGTATGTTTTTCATATAATAATTTACAGTGAAAAATCTTTCCACTTCAACATATATACTTGGACAACATTTTAAATTACTTAAACATAGCAGAATTATGTTTTTGGAGGGTCATATTTTCTTGTTCCCTATTGTAAGCAGTGTTTCTTCGAATATCCTTGTATTTTGTGTAGATTTTTATTTCCTTAGTGTAAAATCCTAGAAGGAGGTTTGCTCTGTCAAAGGACATTGTTTCAAAGCTTCAAGAGATGTACTATCAAATTGTCCTCCCGAGAGGCAGGAATGATTTGCTTTATCCAGTAGAGTCCAACCCTGTGCACTGTCTTTTTAATGATTTATTCTTCCCTAATTTCATCTCCCCAAACAAATATGATTCATCGTGCCTGGCTTCAGTATTGTGCTTTCCTAGGTTCTTAAGGTTTGCTATTTTAACGCTAATAGGGGTCAGCAGGACACAGGGAATTCATGCTTTCTGTGCTTGGCTCTCTCCTCAGACGGAGTCCACTGCCTCACCTGCGCGATGATGCTGCTTAACACAGATCTCCACGGCCACGTAAGTGTCTGGTCTTGAGCTTACAGAAATCCAAAACACCTCGGTTGGGTTTATCTTTGCTTTTACGTTCATACACATTTATTCTCTGCCTCCCTTTCTCTCATTCTCTTCATGGCAGGTAAGTAAATGTAAATCTTTAGGAAAAGAAGTAACTTGTTTCACATGCCAGCATAGAGCATAATTTTAAGTGAATACCGTATTGTCACCATGTCTGGAGTTGTTTTCTCTGTAATGTGTGTGTTCTGTACCTTCTTTTCCCACTAGGTGGCAGAGGCAAAGCTTTTACTTTCTGATTTTTGGTGTGTGTGTTTTTTTTGTTTTGGTTTGGTTTTTGGTTAGTTATTAGGGTTGATATTTTATGATGGAAAGCGAGGATATAAGTTAGATCTGAAAACACTGAGTATGTTTTCACTAAAAACAGCACTGTTAAGAACTCAGTCTTTTCTATGCTCCTCAGCTCACCTGATGTTTTACTAGTTGAAATATCAAAATAATGTAATTACCTTCTCATCTTCTAGTTATAATATAGGATGATTTAAATCTATAATTACATATATAAACGTTCACCTTTCTTAGATGTGGAATTTTAATTTTAGCATTTATTTAAACTGTTCATATTAGAGAAAATGAGGATGTTTTAGTTAAATATAAATCAATGTATACTTAGCACAATAATTATTTCATGCAGGTTCACTTATTTTGAAGAGAAAAGCAGGTTTTTTTGTAATTAAAGAGTCTAGATCGTACCTTACAATTTAAAAAATCGCACTAAAGGAACTAAAACTTAACTATCAGTCCAAATTTGTCCTGCTGTTCCAAAAGGCCATATACTCCCCTTGTTTAAACTATGCTGCTCCTCTTTAGGAAAGGTAGAAAGGAACTAGGTGGGGCCAGTAAGATGGACTGAGGGGGAAAGGGGGCTCTACCATCAGAAAGTAAAGAGTTAAAGTGATAGAACCATAATTTTAACACTATCGGCACAAATCTCTCAATACTTCACTAGGAAGTTCCTTCTGTAATTTGCAAGAGGTGAATTTAGAATAGCTCAGTGACTTATAGGCATATATAACATGTGTGCAGAGGTTATACAGACTAAAAGTATAGATACTTTCAGGGGACATTCTTGGGTAATAGAGCCGTAATATGTCTTAGGGAAATGAAGGGACTGGGATTCCAACAATCGAGCCTTGAAATAAGCATCAGCATCTAATACTCGTCCAACTCGTTACAGAGGCGACCAATCAGTAGACTGTCCTGACCTCTGTTCCTGTTGCCAGTGAGGCCAGTACTCACTGATTTCTCCTCTGCCCGTCGTATGGTAACAATTGCAGCTCTGTCCCATCCTCTCCCTCCCACTCAATTTCTCAGCCTAACTTTCAGCCAGAGGAGACAATTTTGAGTAGGCTTGTCCACATATAACATCAATCCCACAATGAGAAACGTCCTCATATCAGATATTTTGAGGTCTCATCCGTATATCAATATTGTGTATTTAGTTGTCTGTTGACTTAGAACATGTGTAACGAAGGGAAAAAAAAGTTCAGTAACAGTTCAATTCTTATCTAAAAGTTGAGGATCTAATAGAACCTCTATGGAAGTTGCTAGATTTGGGGGGATTTGTTTCTATTAAAAGCTGACTGCTTTAATAATACTTTCAAATAAACATATTGTATTTATCATAATAATTTAAAATAGCAGTAAATAAAGATGTGAGGTTTATTATTTATTCAGATAACTCAAATGCTTGGTGTCCAAACAAGCCGTGGGCACCCTGGGCTCAGAACCACAGGTCTCAAATTGCTCTGGCTTTGTCTTCAGACCACTTTTGAGGAATTGAAGGAGACTGAATGAAACATCACACTTATTTTTGGCAACTACAACATGAGACAGTTTATTTAAATGAACATTTTAGTATTATCTTGAATTATGCCAGTCATACTTAATTAACAATTGGCTTAAGTGGCAGAGTTACATTAAGAGGGAGGAAATGATAAATACAAGTAAATCTCACTAACTTATCTTCAAAATCATGTTTGGTGATTATTAGGTCTCAGCTTTGTTTTCATAAATGTGCTCTATATACTTAAGATTGCCTGTTTAGGTTTTGCTTATTAGAATTTTTTATGCTTATTTACAATGCGTACTGTTAGAAGTCGGTTGAATATATAGTAGCGATCATAAGAACTAACTATATGAAAATGTGTTTCTCTTCCTCCCCTGGATTCATTTTAAAAATAAATTTGCCTTCTAGGTGGTAAGTTTTTACCCATAATTCTGGATGTAGCTTCTCTTGCATCATGATTGCCTGATTAATTGTTACGGTGTCAGTCTGACTTACTAACATGACCCTGTGAAAGTGCATCATTCAGAATATAAAGCGAATTATTTCTAACTTCTGGCCCTGTTCGCCTGCCCTTACTCTGTAGCCTAGGCCATCATCTCTCGTGACTTACTCCACGGCCAGAATAACTCCCTTGGGGAATGAACTAATAAATCATTTTGCTTTTCTTCCTTACATCGTGTCATAATGGAATACAACAGCATGACCTTTCTTGGAAGTTCTGAGACAAGCTTGGCCTCGTGTTTTCAATGGGGGAGGCATGACTTGGGAGCTGAACGTCTTTGGGCTGTTCTTTGTGAATCTTTCATGTGGGTTTCATTGACTCGAAGGGGTGATGCATTGGAAATGCATTTGAATGGGCCTTTTCTTCTTCCTGCTAACTTACTAATAAAATGATAGAATGTATACTAATACAATAAATCTAACAGCATTACATGTTGAATGCCTTTTTATCTTTTTCATTTATTCCCATTCAACGAGCACTTACAGTGTCTCCTGTAGTCCGAGCTCTGTGCTGTTTGGGTGAGGGGCAGAAATGAACGAGACGTGTTCATGGAAGTCAGAGCTCATCTCTGGTGGCGTTGCTGGGCCACCTCCACTAGTCAGGTTTAACTGAAGAAATGGTACCAGGTACCTGAGGTGCTGTGGTGGAAAAGCACCGGAGGGTATTTTATTATACATTGGGTTATAGTTAAACCTCACTAAGTAGGCTAGGAAAAACCAATCTGAAGTATATACAATATTTGGGGGAGAAATTCATTCAGATGTTATAATTATTTCATTGGAACTAAGAACTATTTTTGAAAAATATGATTTATCATTATCTTAACAATAGTATTGACTTGCCCTTATTTGCCTGCAAGTGGTTTATTTTCTTAAATATTTTATAATTGTGGCCACATACCTAATTTGCTAAGTAATCGCTTATTTTTAAAATGCCTTGTCATCTATGAAATACATATATAAATGAAACTCGTGAAACATATATAATGAAATACATATATAAATGAAATAGGTAAATTTCTATTAAAATTTCTAATAAACTCTAGAGTTTATTTTTCTCTTGCTATAATGGAACTAAGTTGTATTGAATTTTGTTTGAACTATCAATAAGGAAAGAGTTGAAAATATTTTTATTTTAGCCTACATTTTATTAGAAATGATAGGAATAAAAGAATCTGTCATGTTAGAGTAAATTCAGACCTGTTCCTTTTCTGGATAAGTCTTCACATGTGCCCTCTCTGTTGACTACACCTAGCTCTCTCGTACCTCAGTCCAGCCTTCCTGGCAGGATTATTGCCGAGGCTGAAGCCAGGTGGCAGGGGCAGGACAGTAGGCAGGAATTTCTCACCAGGGATGGACTCGGAGGTGGCAGGAAGTTTTAGATACAGAGCTGAGTTGCAATGAAGAGTGGGATAGATGGGTGTATAATCCATTGGCCAATTTCAAAACTAAAAGTCGAAAGATATCCATGAGACAGTGGCTGCCCAAGGTCAGGCCATGGTCAGAGGCAATAGCCAGGACATTATTTTTAATCAAGATTTATGTCAGAATCTACCCTTTAACACTTTGGCTTGGGGTGTTTAGTAGCTCTTTTACCTGAAGTCTCTCTCTGCGTTTCCCTGTCGGCAGGAGCCAGCCCCCCTGTGCAGTGGGAGTGAAGGGGTGGGAGTGGTTTTTCTGAGTGGCGGCTCTCTCTGCCTCAGGCTGGGCATCCTGCAGATACTTTGTCTTGGGGGTGCTCGGAGAGTGCTGAATCGCATCCTCAAGGGTCTGAGTTTAATGTAGGAGGCAGGATCTTACTGGCTTTTTTAATGTGTGTTGGGTTATAGGCTGGATATGGGGTGAAACCAAGGCTAGTACACTATACTGATGGGGGATGAAAAAAGTCAAGGAATAAAGTATAAGTTTTGTAACAGAACAATGTTAAAAGATATGTGTAGTTCAGCTTCAGATAGGTCATAGGAATTCATTATTTTTCATCTGTAAATTGCACTGATAATTGTGAGTTTTTAATTCTTAGGTCATCTCTCTAGGAGCCTAGAATTTTAAATAACGGGTAAAATATTTGGTTTATTATCAGAGGTGGAAAATAAGTATTGCAAGAATTGTTACTGAAAAATTTTAATTCTCTTACTTTTCATATTGTGCTGTTTCATAGCTCCACCCCCTAAAGTGCCACAGACCTCCGTGAGGCTGAGAGATGGTTAATGCCCTCGGGAAAGCTCTGAATCTGCGCTTACTGTCACTGTGCCTGGCAGCGCCCTAAGTGCACTTCGCCGGCTGCCTCCCCTCCTGCAGAGCTGCCTTCTCTGTGGGTCCCTGACTCCTCTGCGGTGAAGCCACCCCTGGGCTTCAGTCCTTTTTCCGTCTGGGCCTATCCTGTTGCAGATTTCGGCGTTGGCCGCAGTTTTCACTGAGCCGGCACTGCCCCCCCCTTGGAGCCCTCTCCCCCCTGGTGCCCCGTGTTCCCTTCCTGCCGGGGAGCCCCCAGAGCGTCAAGGGTTCCCCCGCCGAGGGTTCCCCGGAGCGGAGCGTCAGGCCCGGGCTCAGTTGTTCTGCGTTTCTAGGGAGGCGGGCTCCAGTGTCACTGTCACTATTTCTATCGCCAAAACGGGTTTATGGGATAGCCTGAGACCGTAGCCGTCAGCTATGGAAA